GGGAAAAGAGAGAGAGGGGGAAAAGGGAGAAAGGTTTTTTTAAAAAAAAAAAAAAAAAAAACAGTTGCATCAGCCAAGATAATTTGAAGTGAAAATTTCATTTTGACAGTAAAAAGGAGGGGGGAGCACCATCCCATTTCTAACAGTCTCTCCAGTCGGAGATCTCGGTGACGATGGAAGGTTGGGGGGGAATGTGGGGGGTGGAAATAAAGGGGGAGGGGGAGAGAAGGAGAGGCTTTGCGGAAAGCCACGTCTTTAAAGCTGAAAAGGGCAAAAGAACTCGAATTAGTTGTAATAGATAAAAAGGGCAAAAATAAAGAGTCAAGGGTACTTGACAGTAATAGCGAAAAGTGGCGTCTCTGGGGAGAGGGCTTTGCAGCCAGAGGCTGGACAAAGAGGAATTTTAATGTAGCCGGGGCGGGCGGGCGGAGCAGGAATCCAGTCCGCCGAGAGACAAAGACAACATCAAGGCAGGGAAGGAGGGCGGGGGTCCGGCTTTGGGGAAAGCCCACCCTCTGGTGAGAGCCATGGGGGGGCAGGAAACTCCCCTGCCTCCCCGTCCCCCAGAAAATAGGGCTGAGGCTTCCGCTCCCTCTCCCGCGAAGCTGCTGTTCTGCCGCTTCTCTTTTTCCTGTCCCCGAATGACCGCCTCAAGGCCATCCACGCGGGGCCTTGGAAGCAGATCCCGGGGGAGAAGGATTTGCTGTGACCCAAGGATCCTTCGCCGCCGGTTAGTGCTCGGCCGGCCATTCAGGGCGTCCATTCCCCCCAAGCCCCGTCAAGTATTTAACTGTTTCACGCCATCTGAGAGCCGGGCAGAGCGGGCCAGGGATCCAGACAGGAGCTCCGAAACGCTTCGGGGAGGGGGGGACGTCTCCAGGTCGGCTCGCCGGCGGAAAGTTGCTTGTCCGGCTTCTACGTGATGGCGTGGCAACGTTTTGATGGCACGGCGATTAGCCGAGAGCTGGCCAGCGGAAGATGGAACAGGCTGGGTTGTTGTTGTTTTTTCTCCATGTAGCAAAACCCTACCTGCCCATGACACTTTCATGAAATCACTCCAATGGGCACCACCATGTGCGCAAGCTTCCGAGATCCCCAGATCGCTTCATCGGGCGAGATGCTGCAAAAAGCAGATGGCGGGAAACCTTACAGCTTCGAAGGCCTCGATCCACACCGCGCCCGCTTCCTGTAACATTCCGTCTGACAAGATCTCGAAGGCTTGCACACATTTTTGTTCTCTCGCGGTTGACCCAACGAAGGGACCCTCTTTAAGACAGGCTGCGGAATTTCTGTC